CCTGCCTAAACCACCCCCCTTCCTTCAGCTGCTCCTCATAAGATTTGAGATATCAGGTCCCATTTTTATCAGGTATCTATTACTTATGACAGTGTATTCAATAACTGTCAAAATGCTTCTCATAGTCAAAGGATTGTATTAATTGCTTTTCCTCTACACAAAAAGTTTGGGTTTTTTTTTTGGTTTTTGTTTTTTTTTTTTTTTTTTTTTTTGAGGAAAAGTTCCCACCCAGGCACTCTATTTTTAGGGTTTTTTGGCTTTAACGCCCATCAATTTTGGTTTAATTTGGCCCCACAGCTGGTGGCCCCTCCGGGGCCATCTCAGGGCAGGGTTCCTGCGCCACCACCCACACAGCCCCGTGCTGCCCCTTGTCTCCTCTGGGTGAAGATGGTCTCCATGGTGGTGGTACCTTCATCATGAGGAGTTCCCAAAGCAGCCTCCTGTCACAGAAGGACGTGGAGCTGCTTGGACATGTCTTGCCTTGACAGATCGACGCTGACCATTCCTTATTTTGTAGGACTTCATAAATAAAAGAACTTGGTTGTTCATTGTAGTTACAATCATAGGATGGTTAGAGTTGGAAGGGACCTTCAAGATCATCCAGTTCCAACCCCCTGCCCTGGGCAGGGACACCTCCCACCAGACCAGGTTGCTCCAAGCCCCATCCAGCCTGGCCTTGAACCCCTCCAGGGATGGGGCAGCCACAGCTTCTCTGGGCAACCTGGGCCAGGGTCTTACCACCCTCACAGCAAAGAATTTCTTCCTCAGATCTCATCTCAATCTCCCCTCTTTTTATTTATACCCCTCGTCCCATCACTACAAGCCCTTCTAAAAAGTCCCTCCCCAGCTCTCCTGCAGCCCCCTTCAGATACTAGAAAGCTGCTATAAAATTTTTGGCCACCCCTAGCTGGAAAGCTTTCACAGCAACAGAGTGTTGGCAAAGACACAGGAGGGGTCAAATCCCCTTCTAACACATGCTCTTTAGGGGGGTTACTTTCGTCCTGCTTTCTCTCATGAAACCCCACCTGGAGTCCTGTGTCCAGCTCTGGGGCCCCCAACATAAGGACATGGATCTGCTGGAGCAGATCCAGATGAGGCCACAAAAATGATCAGGGGTTGGAGCCCCTCTGCTGTGAGGACAGGCTGAGAGAGTTGGAGAAGAGAAGGCTCCGGGGAGACCTTAGAGCCCTTTCCAGTCCCTAAAGGGGCTCCAGGAGAGATGGGGAGGGACTCTGGATCAGGGAGGGGAGCCATAGGATGAGGGGGAATGGTTTTTAACTGGAAAAAGGGAGATTTAGGTTAGATACTAGGAAGAAATTCTTTGCTGTGAGGGTGGTGAGAGCCTGGCCCAGGTTGCCCAGAGAAGCTGTAGCTGCCCCATCCCTGGAGGGGTTCAAGGCCAGGCTGGATGGGGCTTGGAGCAACCTGGTCTGGTGGGAGGTGTCCCTGCCCAGGGCAGGGGGGTTGGAACTGGATGATCTTGAAGGTCCCTTCCAACTCTGACCATTCTATGATGAAAAGCACCTCAGTCATAAGAGCTAACTGGAGACTGCAGCGTGATCCATAACCGAGATTACTCCCTGTCCCTAAGCTGTCATCTCAGCTTCCATTCCCTCAGCAATGCCTTTTAAAGAGCAACCACCACAACATCGGGTGTTACTCCCCACGGTGGGGAAGACCACGAGACACCACATCTCTCATATGAGAAGCAAACAACGACTTTAAGTGAATTTAGTCATTTCTCGTCCAGATGTTGACACAGACATGTCCACATAGCCAACTACATCGCCAGTGTTGCGGCGCCAGAGCAGGAAGAAGGCCAGCTTTTAGGGGAACTGTCAGTCAAAAAAATAAATAAGCCTTTCTCTCCTCTCCTTTTGGTTGTCTTCCAACAGAAATACAACTCTTACAACTAGCAGGAAACAGCGGAGTGATAGCCAAGCTTCTAGCTGAGGCATCCAGTTAAAGCCCCGTTATCCAACGAGCCCGTAGTCTCTAGCCAGAGATTTAACAGCAGCTTCTAGAGATTTGGCAAAACCTCACACACGGCAGGGGCATTCAGATCCTTTCTAGCGAGTTCCACTCCTTTCTCCTCGTCTTTTGCACTACTCAGATATTTTTAGAAAGTAGGGGCGACAGCGGTGAACACGACCACCAAGAACTTGATTAGCGTGTTTAGTAGCGGGCTTGCGTGTATTGGTCAGCATGGGGCTGGAGGTGAAGAATTTTCTGTTCAAAGGAGATTTTGGCAGGATTTTGGCATCTACTGAATTTGGGAATTCAGTCAAGAATTGTTTCCAATAGTCACCTCACTCCATGAATATATTTCTGCCCCTTATCAGTGCTTTCTGCCAGTTAGGTAGAGAACGTTTACTCATTTTCTCCTGCCTTCCTAAACTCCAGCATAGTCATTGTTGTTCCAGATGCATTAAAAGATTTTTTTTTTTAAATTGCTCTACGCTGGCCTTGTGCATTTCACCTGCTGTCAAATCCTGGTGGGGCTGGGCAGCTTCAGGCAGGCCTTAGCAGAGCAATTCATTACATCAGCACCTTGTTAAGAAACACAAAGAAAAAGTGCACCAGGAATGCTTCTCGAGAGACCACCACAGCAGAACAAGAGGTTTTTGGGAGGCTTTCAGACTTTCTTTAGGATTTGCCAGCTTTAGGAACTGTTTTCTAGCAGAAACACCAACTCCTTTGTAGCCTAACAAGACGTTTCCTTTTCTGAGCAACCCTGTAGAAGCTCTCCACGGGCACTAAGCTGAAGGACACTAAAAAATCCAGGTCCATCTCAAACAAGAACAAAGCACAAGAGGCCTCGTAACACCACAGCTGGAGTGGCTCACACCAACACTTTCTTTTAGCCCATGCTGCCTAGAATAAACGTGTTTGGAGGCTGTGGTGTTAACTTAGGGATGTTCCAAGAATTGATGTGGTCCATCAGGCTCAGTAATCATAGAATCATTCAGGTTGGAAGAGACCCTTGGGATCATCGAGTCCAACCATCTACCCTACTCTACAAAGTCCTCCCCTACACCATATCCCTCAGTACCGCATCTAAACGTCCCTTAAACACAGCCAGGGATGGTGACTCTACCACCTCCCTGGGCAGCCTATTCCAATGCCCAACCAGTAACCCTCAATGGAGGTCTCCATTAAGCACTTTTCCTCTCTTGAGCTAAAGTTTAGTGCCTGCAACACCCTTTACCCAGCAGTGGCACCATCCCTTAGCCAGGCCATGGAAAAACACCTCCACTTGTTCACTGGGAACGTGGCTCCAGCTAATTAGATTTGATTAACCAGGCTCCTGCATGGGATGAGACAGCAAATGGCTGGTATCTACCCCTTATGCAGGCTAAAGCATCAGAGCCTACCTAGTTCCTTCCTGGGACTATATTCCAAGTCTTCAACCATGCTTGTTGTCCTCTTTGGACTTTTTCCAGTTCTTCAGCATCTTTTTGGAGACAACAGGCGATGACCTGTGTGCAGCGATTTAAAACATGGGTGAATCATCTTAATATCATATTGAAGTAACTTAAAGGTACCTTTTTTAAGCATATTGACAACTTTGTGAAGAGGAGAAGCCTCATCTAGTTTCACGCATGTTCATCACGTGGCGCTTGGGTGTCGAGGTGGGTCTGCTCCCAAAATGAAGTCATCACCTGCAACCAAAAGGCTGGATCCCATATCATCCCTTATTTTGTGCAGTGCAGCAAAGCAATGCCAGAATTTGAGGATCTTCCCTGGCCAACAGCAGCAGGGAGGGGAAAAGACAAAACGCACACAGCTGCTACCCCAAATCAGCTGAAATGAGCAAAACCTACTAAAAATGTAGTTGGGATGTTAAGATGTCCCCTCTACACCTGTGCAAGCGTTAGGAGCACAGAATGTAATCAACAGCATGAAATTAAAACATTTTCTGTCTTTCAAGGTCCCCACCCCGAGTCAGAGAAACTGTAGGAGTCCCTCCTATACAAAATGTAGACAAGTCTAACTTTAGGGCAAGGAAAGATTTGGTTAGTTTGCATCTAAAATTTAATGATAGAGGGAAAGAGTACTCATTAACTTTATTACCTTTAAAGAAGTGGTTTGTCTTTCTCCTTGGTCTCTTCCTAAAAAAAGAAGTGCTTTTTTACCAAGATGTTTCTTGCGGCTCAACCATAAGTTTTCAATGCAAGTTTGCTATTCTTAGGTATTTAAAGCAATTAACACAGTTGTTTTGCAAGCGCCAGCTGTTAGCGATTCTAATGCCTGGGCCTGCTTTCTGGGGGCAGCTGGAAAGACACAAACCAGAGCAGCAAGGAAAGCAAGATTGCTAGCGTAACTGCTATTAGCCTAGAATTACATTTTCCAAGCCACTTTGGCTTGAAAAATCTTTTACCAATATGAGTATTTTACAAACCCAGATTTAAAAAAAAAAAAAAGTTAAAAAAAATTCTTAGCAATGCAGGACCAAAGATTTACCTATTTTGCAATCCATTAAAAAAAAAAAAAGTTAAAAAAAATCTTAGCAACGCAGGACCAAAGATTTACCTATTTTGCAATCTTGCCCATGTAAGAGATCACCAGTATTTGTTGCCATTGCTTTTTCCCTCCTTGCCTGCTTCCTTTTCTTTGCTCGTCTTGCATCAGGAGAGTCTCAGGGATTCACTTCCTCTGGTGGCCTGCCAAAGCTCAAATTAGGGAGCAACAGGAAGCTGTCAGAGATGCATTTATATGGCCAGGCCTCCACGTCGCTCACAGGGTTGCTGCTTGCCCGGAGTACAGTATCTGCAGGGAACAAAGAACAGTTTATAGATGCAACACACACAACTCAGAGCCTGCCTCAAAAACACTTGACGAAGAAGCAACTCAGTGCTAAAGTGACAACTGGTATTTGTGCTCCTTAAATTAAATAGTTACATGAATAAACAACGAGGAAGCCTCTGATCTTTTCAAACTCATCTCCCCTGCTTAGGTGCTGCAGAAACATTTAATCTTGCCCATGTAAGAGATCACCAGTATTTGTTGCCATTGCTTTTTCCCTCCTTGCCTGCTTCCTTTTCTTTGCTCGTCTTGCATCAGGAGAGTCTCAGGGATTCACTTCCTCTGGTGGCCTGCCAAAGCTCAAATTAGGGAGCAACAGGAAGCTGTCAGAGATGCATTTATATGGCCAGGCCTCCACGTCGCTCACAGGGTTGCTGCTTGCCCGGAGTACAGTATCTGCAGGGAACAAAGAACAGTTTATAGATGCAACACACACAACTCAGAGCCTGCCTCAAAAACACTTTACGAAGAAGCAACTCAGTGCTAAAGATACAACTGGTATTTGTGCTCTTTAAATTAAATAGTTACATGAATAAATGACGAGGAAGCCTCTGTTCTTTTCAAACTCCATCCCCTGCTTAGGTGCTGCAGAAACATTTAATTGGGTGGCATGCAATCACAAGCAGGTGTATGGACCGTAGAGGAGGCACAAGGAATCTCTCATAGACTGCATGGCTTCCCACCTGTCAGATCGGTCACAAAAGTGACTCTAATCTCAGTGTGCAATCACAAGCAGGTGTATGGACCTGTAAAGGAGGCACAAGGAATCTCTCGTAGACTGCATGGCTTCCCACCGGTCAGATCGGTCACAAAAGTGACTCTAATCTCATTTTCTCTACATATCTTCCCACAGCACAGAGGCCAGGTATACACAATTGGGCTAATCCATTACTTTTTTCCAGCTGAGTATAGCAATAAGAGGCTAAAGCACTGCACTGCCTTCAAAGGAGTCTTTATGCTGCATCACAGTGCTTTGGCTTTTAATCCTTGGTATGGATAGGGGTGCACTTACCAAATTACTGATGGCTTTGGGCTGAAGAAGGTTGAGATGCTGTCCCAAGATTTGAGTCCAAAGTATCTCCCCCAGCTTGCTTCCCTCTAAAGGCAGTTCTTCGTGCAAGATCCATTTCTGGGGGTGGTTAGGGTCAATAAATCTGTTGGTTTGTTTTAACAGCAGGGTGGATACTTCCCTTAGAGATTATATTTCAATCCTTTATCTTATTAAGGGAAGATGTGTTTTGTCCATTAATCCAATTAGCCTAGTGGATTAATAAGATTGGGCTTGCTCTGTATCAGGAAGCACACAAATAGCAGTCAAGCATAATTAAACATAAACTTGTAAGTAACTCTGGTAACAAGAGTGTTATTTCCCTGAATATTCTGTTTATTATTTTTCCAAGCCATGCTCTCAAATTACATGACGTGAATTCTCCATCAGAAGGTCTCGATTCAAAAGGCTGCCCTGAAAACATTTACTTTCGTATGTTTATAAAATCCTCTTTGGGCTAAATATAGGCAGGTAGGTTCCAGCCCAGAATAATGTTTTCAGTACTTGAGAGGAATCTGTTTGTTCAGTTACAGAGGCATGAAAAATATTTGTCATTATTCTGACAGCTGTCTTGGCAACGTGCACTTTCTGATCAGAGCTATTCCCTTGCAAACTCAGCTGTGGCTTTGGGTGCTTGAGCACTGAACAGCCCCCTCCTTTAGATACAAAAGGCAGCTCTTGGCATATTTTCCTGTTTGAGGACATATGGTCCTTAACTTTAGACAATGCTCTTATGTTAATGATATAAAAAACAGAGAAGCTTAGGGAGGGGAAAAAAAAAAAGGGAAAGAAAAAGAAAGTAAGAGGAACAAACTCCTCTGCTAAGAACAGCTCAAATTATGGCAGTAGCAAGTTCTCCTTGGCAAAATACATGGCAATGGGGATTTTTGATGGAGTGAAGCAGGTGGGGGGGGGGAGGGGGAAACAACAACAAAAAAACCAAACCCAGAGCTTGCTCTTAGGCAGCCTGATTGACTCCAGGAGTTAATTAAAACCTGGAGCAGGGAGTCAGCCGCCCGGCTCTGCCCAGGGCTGGGAACAGCCGCTGCGGAACTACATTTCCCAGCGCTGCCGGGGGGGGGAAGAGCTGCTGGGACCCACGGTGGCTGTTTCGGGTGGAAGCCCCGCTTCCAGCTGAGGTCAAGGTGGGATCCCAGCGCCGATCCCTGCTGCTGGGGGCGGCGTTTCTTCTGCGGGGAGCGCAGTAAGTTGGGGACAAGGCGTGGGGAGTGACAGGCAGAGATTTTCCACGCACCCCCCCCACCGTCCGGCTGCGCGGCGTGGCCGAGACTCACATGGGAGTTGGGGCTGGCCTCCCGACGTGGAGTTTTTCAGCAATCCTCACCAAAATCTGCCGTGGTGGCTCCTAGGAAGGAAGGGGTTAAACGCCTTCACACACTGCATTTCATCCTGCCAGGTACAAGCTCTCCCCCCCCCTCTTGTCCCCAGCCGGTCACAGGCAGAGCAAAGTGCAGAGCCCTTTGTAAACTCCTGGATGCAGAGATTTATTTTTTTTTCCCCAGGCCGAGTGGGGACACCACCAGGGCTCCCCCCTCTCCCCAGGGATCATCCCGGTGAGGACCACCCTCAGCTGGGACGGGGGGGAAAAGAGGGATGGGGGCAGAGATGTCAGGAGACTGCAGAAACTGCCTTTGGGTGCAGACAGGAGCCTCTGCTCAGGCTCGGGAGCCACCACTGACCTTTATGGAAAGGAAGGACTCGCAGCCTCTTCTTTGGCACTCCTTATCTGTCTGTAAATCAGGGCAAACGTAACTTCCTCCTGACAGGGCTTCGAGTTCTGCGCTTGAAAAGTGAAACATTCAAAACAGTCATTAAGGATTATTAATCATAGTTGTTGGTTTTTGGTTGTTTTTTGTTGTTCTTTTGGTTGAGTGCTGGCGATGGCAGCATTCCTGGCTATTTTCTGACATCCTGCAGCTGAGTCCAAACTGCAGGCTGTGACTGCCTGGGCTGAAAATGTGGTAGGATGCTTTAGCACATACAAAAAGAAAAAAACCCCAAACCCTTCCTAGCTGGAGGTGATCCGATTCAGCTGCAACTGCTGCCTCTCATCGAACTTGGGGAATTCTCTGCAGAAATATCCACAGCTGATATTTTGTCTTTCATTCTCTTCTGGCACCGCTGCTTTTCCCACAGATCTGCTCCGCGCCGCGATAGGATGTTCCGTTGGATGGAGGCCACTCCAACTGTGTAGGAAACAAACAAGAGAGCAGTCACCTTCCCTGCTCTTTCCCCCAGGGACACAGAAGTTCAGGGCAGGAATATTTAATCTAGCCTCACAGCAATTTCTCTGAGACCTGTGCACGCTCACAGCTGGAAACAAACCCAGGTACCTTTAAATAGTCTCAAATTTTGCCTGAGATGGTTTGATCAAGACCAAAGTGGTCACTTTAGAAAGCAGGTGCCAGCACTCTGCAGACTCTGTGAGAGGGAGGCTTCTGGTAGCAGTGGGTTATTGTACCTTTTAAATCAAACTTAACTTTGCAGGGCTGCTGCCTTTTACCCTCTGCTTCTCTTTTTAGGCAGAGACAGCAACCCGTAGGTGTTGGTTATGGCTGCGATTTATCAAGCAGTATGTAGAAGAGCTTCCTCTCTCACCTGCAGGTTACACTCCACCTACGTTAGAAAAATGAGGTAAGATCTCTGATTTTCTTGTGTGCAGTGAGAAGACCAGGGTTTGGCTCTCTTGTGTCCACTGTCACAATCTAACCCGGGGGGTTAATCTTTTAACAGCTCAGCAATAATACAGCAATGCTGTGTGAGCTCTGTCAATGATAACCACCAAAATCTCTCTACTCCCTTCACCACTGATAAGAACTGTTCCTCTCAGGCTGAAGTTCTGTTAATGAATGGCTAAACTTGTTGCCCCAGCTAAAGATCTCTTAAAATACAAGAAGCTGCTCACCTCGTTTTAAGCACTACTTCAAAGAGCCTGAGAGAAGCACATCCTGACACCCTTTTTTCCAATCATTGCTTTTCCTAATCAGGCCCTGGCCAACTAAGACTTCAGGTTGGTCTTTCCCCATGAAGTCAGTGTGACAGGTAGAACGTACCCTGCAGGAACGCACGTGGCCTGGTGGGAAGCATATTCAACATCTGAAGGGCTCAGTAGCCTTGCCCGACAGGACTTGGAGCCATCCAGATCAGGGGGGGATGCAAAGATCCTGCACGTGGATGATCATGTCTATAAAGCACATCTCTTGGATTAAAAGACTGGGTTACTGGTCTTCTCAGACGTCTGAGACTCGAGGCTACCTGTGCGGAAGTAAAAATGTCAATATTTTCTGCCACATGGCACCTTTGCTAGAGGCTACAGCCCACCAAGGAGTCAAAAACTCTAGAAGCATGTGAAATATGTAAAATCTGTACTGTGCATTCAGCCTGCCCCCCGCTGTGTGCAAAATAAACCCATCTAAATAATTGTAACACAGGTAATCTCAACATGATCTGGAATTCACCTTCCCAATTCTTTTCTCTCTGCAGATACTTAAATGAGCTGAAGGAAGATGATGGCCTTTGTAGACAAGCCCAGGCCTCAGGAACTTTCTACCTCTTTCACAACCTCTCCCCCTTCCTGCAGAAAGTTGGGAAGAAGTATTTGGTCCCACAGCTCGGTGCAGCAGGTAAGCAGTGTCTGGAAAGAAACACCTCCTGGATCACGCAGCTGAAATGATACAGAATCATTTGCAACAAGGGGTTGAAAAAATCTGTCAAGCTATGCAGGACCATCCTGTGATGTGCAGCACTCTTTGTTAGCAACCAGAGACAAAGAATAATATAAAATCTATACTGTGCATTCAGCCTGCCTCCCGCTGTGTGCAAAATAAACCCATCTAAATAATTGTAACACAGGTAATCTCAACATGATCTGGAATTCACCTTCCCAATTCTTTTCTCTCTGCAGATACTTAAATGAGCTGAAGGAAGATGATGGCCTTTGTAGACAAGCCCAGGCCTCAGGAACTTTCTACCTCTTTCACAACCTCTCCCCCTTCCTGCAGAAAGTTGGGAAGAAGTATTTGGTCCCACAGCTCGGTGCAGCAGGTAAGCAGTGTCTGGAAAGAAACACCTCCTGGATCACGCAGCTGAAATGATACAGAATCATTTGCAACAAGGGGTTGAAAAAATCTGTCAAGCTATGCAGGACCATCCTGTGATGTGCAGCACTCTTTGTTAGCAACCAGAGACAAAGACTACTTAGAGTTAAAGCCTTGGCATGCAGACACAAGCTGATGCTCTTCACATACATGCAGCTTCAGCATATACCTGATCTGTTTTGACATAATCAGTTATCAACATTTCTTTTGAAGAGAAAGGGCTGGCAGGAAAAACAAGCAAGGTCTACCTGACAAAGGTGATTTGGCATAAGGCAGGAAAAGTTTTCTTTGAGAGGAAGGTATTGGCTGGTGAAGGACAGAAACAGAATGGACAGCTGCTCCCTCAGCATTGCAATATTTGCATCTTTTGCTTGATGTGGCCAAAATTTCCAGCAGCTAGGAGGAAAGCCAGAATTCTGGTCTCCATCCGGGTGGGTCCACGTGTCTGGTCCTCTCTCTCACAAGAGCACCCTGCCTTGAGCCAAGATTGCCTGTGCCTTGAAGATCCAGAGAGCACCGTGGTTGGTACAAATTTGCTTTCATCACAGCTTTTTCTTCCCCTTCCCCCTGCTCTTTAGAGGTGAAGAAGATCCTGGAGACATCGAAAGAGACTGAACAGTGGATAGAGAAGTCGGTGCTGATCGGTTGTTCAGATGAGCACGTGCCACACTTTGCCCTGGATTTAGGTTGGGATAACTCCTCTCCCACCTGTGTCAGCGTCGCGTTTGTTGTACTGAGATGAAAATGCTGCCGAGGCAGCGACCCTGGTCCTTGCTGGGTAAACATTTGGGGCCAGAGAAGACTGGGCTGAGTCTCTGTAGGAGCTGTTGGGAGCGTGGGGGGTGGTCAGAGCAGCAGAACTGCACTGCTGTGCCTGTGTCAGTAAAGGTGGGCTGGTGGCAGGTCACTGCACTTTTGGGAGTGTTACCACTGATGTGATGTCACTTCCACGGGAACTTCCAGAAATTGTATACCGGAACAATGAAGGGCGTGAAGTTGGGATAATAACTGCAATTTATGAGATCAAAGATTTTGTTTGTTGGTTTTGTGTTGGTTTTTTGTTGTTTTTTTTTTTAAACAGGAGCCTTGGAGAAATCAGTCATTGAGTCTGAACTCAAGGGATCATTTACTGACATGCGAAAGGCTCTCTTCGTAGTGGATGGAAGTGACTCTTCTTTGCTGGCTTCGGTACTGTACAGGATTTTTTACTTTAAGAAGTTGCCATTTCTAACATCAACCCTTCTCTTTGTCTCCCATATTGTTTTTTTGATTTAATACATATTGTGGAAGGACCTACTGTACACTTTTACTGACCTAGGGACAAACACACTGTAAATTACAGCAGTTTTCCCAAATTTGTGATCCCAAAAGCAAGCTGCAACAGGAAGAAAAACAGACAAGTGGCTTAAAAATGACCACAGCAAGTAGCCATTTGGCATCAACCTGCTGTATGCCCAGTGTGAGACTTACCAGCAGTCCCAGTTTGTCCTCAGCTTAACAACTATCAGGCACTAGTTTTCTGTAATCTTCTAGGCAAACTGAGTTTCATGAACAAACTGACAGATCTTCTCTCAGAAGTGCTCTCTTTTAAAACTACTCTAAGCGGTTATCTGCAGATGCCAGATATTTGGAAGCCCTGAAAAAAGACCTGTTTGTGAAAATCAGTTGTCCTGACCCATAACTAGAAATAGCTCATGTTTCTTTTCCTGCTCTATAACATTTGTGGTGCTTGGGCTATTTTTCAAGAAGGTATTTAGGGTTCCTTAGAATAGCTCAGTTCCCATTACTACTCCCATTGTATCCCAATAAAGAACAGCTCTTCCCCTCCCTCCCTGGAACATGCTCAGAATTGGATGCTAAAGCAAGCAGCATGAAATATCAATTGTGGAATTTGCCATTTTTCAAAGCAGTTCCCTTAGTTCCTCTACCTTCCTGAGGCTTCCAAACAAAATCAGAGCTTATCCACATGCCTGCATGCTGGGGAGAAGACAGCAAAGCATTACTCGAGGGAGACTGCTCCGAATCATCTCTTTGCCCCAGCTATAATTTTCACTGAATTTCACTGAATTTAACTGAATTTTAGAGTTGGAAGGGACCATAGAGATCATCTAGTCCAACTGCCCTGCTGAAGCAGGATTGCCTAGAGCTTGTCAGAGCATGTTACTCAGGAGCATCCAGGCGGGGCTTGAAAATCTCCAAGGAAGGGGACTCCACACCCTCCCTGGGCAGCCTGTTCCAGGGCTCTGCCACCCTCACTGGGAAGAAGTTTCTCCTCATATTTGAGTGGAACCTCTTATGTTCCAACTTGTGCCCGTTGCCCCTCGTCCTCTCACTGGGAACCACTGAAAAGAGTCTGGCTCCCTCCTCCTTCAACCCACCCTTTAGACACTTGTCAGCATTAATAAGGTCTCCCCTCAGCCTTCTCTTCTCCAGACTAAAGAGTCCCAGCTCTCTCAGTCTCTCCTCATAAGGGAGATGCTCCAATCCTTGAATAATATATCCCTCTTGGTGTTCACAGGCTCAGTCCCTTCTCCGCTGGCACGACTCCCACCAGTACTGTAGCAAAACTGGGCAGCCCACTGAGAAAAACGTAGCTGGCAGCAAACGTGTGTGCCATGCCAGTGGAATAACTTACTATCCACAGGTGAGCACCGGGATGGCAAAGGTAAGCAACGCAGGGTCTCTGTGCTGACAAGCCAACGCTGCTGGGCCGTGTGGAGGGGAGCCTATAAAAGGCAGCAGCCATGCCCTGCATGTAGCTGGGGGCCTTTTCTTCAGTGTTCATCCAGTCACCCTCAGCCAGGTAGGAAAAGCAACGATTTGCACATACCTGTTGGGTCTGACCCGCTTGCTGTGGTCTCTGATGCGTTTGCTAGATGTCTCCAGTGGTTATCACCCTGGTGTCCGATGGGAGCCGGTGCCTCCTCGCGCGACAGCCCTCGTTTCCCCAGGGGATGTACACAGCTCTCTCAGGCTTCTGTGACGTGGGTAAGGCGAGCTCTGGTCCAGCGGGGTGGCCTCAGATGTGTGGGGGCAGAATGGTGGGACGTCAAACAAACGCCCGTTCACAGAGGAGGACAGAAAAAATACTGGATCTAAACAGATCAGTGTTGCCATCCAGACAAAATTCAAAACAGTTGCATGTATCTGAAGAGAATGGGAATTATGGGTGGGTATCACTTGCTCTAGCCCCTACAAGTATAAGGCTCCCCAGGCTAGAACCTCAGATACTTGTTTAGCTCATTTTGTGCGTAGCGCAGTCTGGCTTAGAAGAAAAACTACAGACCTCTTGTTAGGAAGGGGAAAAAAAAGGGAAAAAATGTTAAAAAGGGAAATGATGAAGAGAGGCAGCTTTGTTCTGTCCACCTGTACGTAGACAAAGCTGCATATAGACAGCTGTATATACACAAAGCCAAAAACATCCCCGGTGCCTCTGTTTAAGGGAGGCAAGTGTTGTTGATGAATTTAATTGAGCATCCTGCTGGCGAGTGTTTCCAGGTCAGCACAGCCTGAGCTCCTCCGTGTGCATGACCGATCAGGGCTGGAACACCTGAGAAATGAGCATGCCTACATTTTAATCGCCACAGTTTGCTGCCCCGAGGCCAGGCTGTCCTCACCCAGCTTTGGTGGTTGCTTCTAGGTGAGAACGTGGAGGAGACAATCCGGCGAGAGGTGGCAGAAGAGGTGGGCCTGGAGGTGGAGTCACTCTGGTACTCAGCTTCTCAGCACTGGCCCTTTCCCAGCAGCTCTTTAATGATAGCCTGTCACGCGGTGGTGAGAGCACAGCAGGCTGAGGTAAGCAGAGCCAGGTCCCCTGCAGCACCCGCTTTACACAGCAAAATCGTTAGATCCTCTCTAAATGCATGTATTCCATTGGCCTTCTCTACAAGTGAAGAACAAACTTCAAAACAATTGTATCTTCTAATGCAACGTGCCAAATTTTGCACAGCCCACTGTTCCCTTAGTTCCTCTACCTTCCTGAGGCTTCCAAACAAAATCAGAGCTTATCCACATGCCTGCATGCTGGGGAGAAGACAGCAAAGCATTACTCGAGGGAGACTGCTCCGAATCATCTCTTTGCCCCAGCTATAATTTTCACTGAATTTCACTGAATTTTAGAGTTGGAAGGGACCATAGAGATCATCTAGTCCAACTCCCCTGCTGAAGCAGGATTGCCTAGAGCTTGTCAGAGCATGTTACTCAGGAGCATCCAGGCGGGGCTTGAAAATCTCCAAGGAAGGGGACTCCACACCCTCCCTGGGCAGCCTGTTCCAGGGCTCTGCCACCCTCACTGGGAAGAAGTTTCTCCTCATATTTGAGTGGAACCTCTTATGTTCCAACTTGTGCCCGTTGCCCCTCGTCCTCTCACTGGGAACCACTGAAAAGAGTCTGGCTCCCTCCTCCTTCAACCCACCCTTTAGACACTTGTCAGCATTAATAAGGTCTCCCCTCAGCCTTCTCTTCTCCAGACTAAAGAGTCCCAGCTCTCTCAGTCTCTCCTCATAAGGGAGATGCTCCAA